GACCGTAAGGAGCTCGTGTCAGTCGAGTGGTGTCCGCCTCTGTCAGTGTCAGCGGAAAAATACGCACATGGTCAACTACATGTGTTGGTGACAGTATGGAAATTCTGGAGGAAATTCTTCTTGATTTTTGAATCTTATAATGGAGTTTCACCCGTTTTACTTGAAGAACGCGATATCCGCCGCGATATGCAGTAGTCGTGAAATATGTTTTTTGACTGGTGCTTTTCATATCACTAGGGTGAAACTCCAATGAATGAGGAAACCTTCAGAGCTGAGTTGAAGAAAGCGAACATATATTGGAGTTCACTCCGTGATACGAGAAACACTAGTGATAAATTTTGTTCACAAACCACTGCTAATATCGCGTACTTCGCGTAAAACGGGTGAAACCCTATTCCTCCAACACTGGTGGTCCCTGTAACAGATATGTATATGCTCTATATGAATCATATGGTTTCGATCGCCATCAGAATGCGAGCCTCTTCGTATGCGGATTCGCCAGTTCTATGTTGTTGGGGACTTTTATTGGAAGTTTGGCTGACAGGTAGGCTCCCTCGGGTGCATTTCATTATTGGAGTTCCACCCGTGATGTGAAAAACACTGGTGAAAAACGTATTTCACGACTGCTGCAAACCGCGAATTTCGCGTTTTTCACCGAGTTCAACGACGCCACTTCACGTTAAAGAGGTGAAACTCCATTATTATTATCATCATCACTATCAGGTTTGGTCGTAAGAAGTTCTGTATGCTGTATTGTTGTTTATACATACTATCGTGTGTTACCAAACACATCCCTCTATATCCTGTCCTCATGCTGGGCCGGCTGTTGGGGGGGATGGCGACTAGCCTGTTATTCAGGTGGGGACGGTTTCAATGTTTGTATAAATTACTGATACTATTTATTGGAGTTTTACAGTACTCCATGTGAAAACGCGATATTCACCACTCACATGCGTTTTTCGCTAGTGTTTTCCATGACATTTGTTGGAAGCAAAGCACCATGCGGTGAAAATCATAAAGAACAGATCTTGGTAACTTTGTGAGCGTCATCATCATCATTGTCGCGGCACAAGGCGAAGAATATGATATTCACATCTATGTAAGGAAGTCCCACAACATAACTAATGGAGAAGTTGAAGCGACGAATGAATACTGACATAATGCATATTCAGTTCATCTCAACGACACAAGTCTGGGAGGATTTTACAGTGTGATCTGAACTGATATGCAAAGATATACTCACTAAGGACGATTTACGATGTTGATATTTCCATGTCCCAGAAAGAATACAACCTTTTCGGGTCAATTTAATTGCCCCGAAGGTAACAATTTACTCAATCGTATGGAGTTTCACCACCCCAGTGATATGAAAAACACTAGTGGAAACCATACTTCACGACTACTGCATATCACCGTGAGTAACGCGTTTTATGTTAATTCGCGTAAAGCGGGTGAAACTGCAATATTGTCCCCATTTTTTGTGAAATAATTTACATTTTCTTAATATTTTCCGACCAGTTTTGATGAGAATTTCCAACGATATAAGCGGTCATTTTGAAAACTACCGCACGCAGACTCCTCAACAACGTACAGCGCATTTTTCAGCGTCTTCGAAACTTGGTTTATCTGCGAGGCTACTACCACCGGTCAAGCACATCTCATATCCAACACTCTCGGTATAGCGGTCGGTCTTAATTCTGTTACGGCCATCGTCGCTGGAGGTAACCTCAAGTGTGTGCGAATCAATGAGTTTATATCTCTTCAGTGCTGGCCCAGGCTAGTGTATCCATAGCGCCTATGCGTGCCTTGACGAACGTCTTCAATATAGCTGGGTAAGCTGGGGGTACAATGGAATTTCACCCTAGTGATATGAAAAACACTAGTAAAAACATATTTCACGACTACTGCATATCACCAGAATATCTCACTTCACGTAAATCGGATGAAACTCCAATGTAGTTTCACCCGTGATATGGAAAACACTAGTGAAAAACATATTTCCCAATTCACTTCGCGGGAAACAATTGTGTTTTTGGTCGCGGAAACATATACGTGTTATAATATACATAGTGTATTACACCACTTCAAGTTGAACGGATTTTTCTATAAGTATGGGAAAGTATGCACATGGTCATTTTAGTGGGCATTTTTATAGTATTATCAGCACATGTTTTTGCGACAACTACGTGTGTATGGAAAACATGTGTACTCTGCTAAAAATACAGCTGATGGGCGTTCCTCACATGCAGTGTGTGCCAATTTGACAGTGTGGAAAAATATGCACATGGTCAAGCACATATGTTGGTGACAGTGCGAAGATTATCAAGAAATTTTGGGAAATTCTCATTGGTTTTTGTGAGTTTAGACGGGAAGCATGCGTAGTTCTCCATAATTAGCGAGGAAGCTTCTGCTAGACTCAACTGAGGAAAGCGAACATATATTTCAATACTGGAGTTTCACCCGTTTTACGTGAAGTGGCGTGAAACTCGGTGAAAAACGCGATATTCGCGGCCCGTACTAGTCGTGAAATATGTTTTCCACTAGTGTTTTTCATATCACCGGTGAAACTGCAATTTAACATGCAAAAATGTGCGAGAGGAAACACACATGTCTATGTATCAAGTATACTGTAGATACTGCAGTCCTTTTGATCTCGCCATAGTATCACTACTGGTCACGGCACTTTGCATCCACACGACGTGGAGGGAAAACTACGGGGCGAACGATTCAAATTCGGCGAAAAACGAAAGTGTGCCAATAGCAAGCCTCTCGATACGACAATGGGGCACAGGTAAGGGTATACGTACAGGTGAGGAAAAAGACCTTTTTTACGCACAAGGTTGATTTGGTGAAAACCCACTGATAAATATGCAATATGAAGATCTCGGAAAATTCTTGTTGATTTCTGTGCATTTTCACATGAATTCCCATGGATAGCAAGAATTTTCCTAAATTTCTTCCCAGAATTTTCATATTGCCATCAACACATGCAGTTGACCATGTGCATATTGTCCACCCACATTTTTGGATAACACTCGTTAGTTTAGATGTGCTACACTCACTGCAGTCACATCACTCGATCATCCCACTGGGCTGCATACAAGCACTATACGAGTCGGCCATGTAGCGACTATACATACTTTGCACGCATGCACAACTATAGTAGGTACATATTCGTGTTTATGTGGACTCCCGCACTAGAGCAAGCCAACGGTGGTGTTGCTATTTCCCTGGGACTGGTCTTTGCATGCTTCATGACAGCTTGTACGGTCGGCTCGCAGATGTTCCGGTTAGTTTGTGATAGTACATACTGTATAGAACTCTACTGTAGATATGTAAGCACGACTACTGACCAACGGTTGTCCTCTGCGGCGATCCTCAGACTTGTATGCTTGGCTGGACTTGTCTCGCAGGGCACTGTGTTCATGTGAGCTATTGCCGGTATAGTTGTTGTATGTGTTGTTGTTGTATATGTTGTCGTTGTATATGTTGTATATGTTGTTGTTGTATACGTTGTTGTTGTCTATGTTGTTGTTGTTGTTGTTGTTGTTGTTGTTGTATATGTTGTTGTCTATGTTGTTTTGGTATATGTTGTTAGTGTATATGTTGTTATATATGTTGCTGTTTCATATGTTGTTGTATATGTTGTTGTTTTTGATGTTGTTGCTGTTGTTGTATATCATACTATCGAGTATTCGATAGTGTATTACGATTATACTAATTCGACTTGGTGCAAATGGAAATTACATATAGTTTCACCCGTTTTACGTGGAATGGTATAATACTCCGTGTGAAAAACGCGACATTCGCGATACGAAGCGAATTGAAAACATCTCGGAATTTACACGGGAGTTTACGTTGCTCATGCGTGTCCCACGAAGTAAGATGTGAAAGATGTTTTTACCGGTGTTTTTCATATTCTTGATGAGTGTATTAGGAACTACAGTGCACACCACCTAGAGACCGAAAATACGTGTGCAGAGATAACCTTTTAGAACGGCTTTGAAGTTGAATTTTGAATATAAGTCTTTCTCATATAGTTATATTGGAGCTTCATCTGTGGTGTGAAGAATACTGGCGAAGAACATTTCTCACGACTACTGCAAAGCGCAAATTTCGCGTTTTTCGTCGCCACTTCACGTGAAACGTGTCCGCAACTTTATACATGATTTTTCTATGTATAGCTATAGGTGTATTTTATGTGTATCTTTCAACTATGTATAGGTTTCCGAATTCACCCTGGACGGTGCTGATAGCCTTCCTGGTCTTCGAGACATCTGTCGGTGCCTACTACCCCTCAATGGGAACTCTCAAAGCCGAGATCGTACCCGAGGCTTATAGAGCTACCATATACAATCTATTCAGAGTGAGCAGCTATCTGTGCGAATATTTTATAATAATGGAGTTTCATACGTGACATGAAAAACATATTTCGCGACTACTGCATATTACCGCGAATATCGGGTTTTTAAATTTCGGCATATTGTGTAGTATTTCAAATTCACATTATCTGTGTAAATTTGTGAAATTTTGTGTAATATTATTCAACGTTTTTGCGAGAATGAATTTCGTTGGCCACAATAAGGACATACAAATTTAATTGATGTTAAAACCGGAAATTTCCATATTGTCACCAACACATGAAGTTGACCATGTATTGCATATTTTCCCACACTGATTTTCGTCGTCAAAAAACATATTTGCCACTTAAGGTATACGAGGCACTGTATCAGGTCCCTTTAAATCTGCTGGTCATTGCTGCACTCCTCGCCAAGCTAGAAGTGGCAGAAGCGTTCGGTGTCGCGTCCCTGCTCCTTGCTCTGGCATTGATGCTGAGTATCCGCATAAGAGAACCGTCCAGGACAGTAGGTCTACGAGGGCCTGATCAACCATTGCTACGTCCACTATAATCCCTATAAAGATTGTTTGTTATTTTTTCATACAAGTATTCGTCGTACACTAGTCTTGATGATTATGAGTAGTTTCTCTGCCGCTGTTTGCAGGGGTGTAGTGATCTGATTGTTGTGTTCGATTTCTCTTTAGACTGACGAC